AAGCTTGCGCATTAAAGGAAGGTCCCGGCGGTTTACGGGGGGGTAATCTGTTTTAAATAATCCTACTATATATAAGCGGCTAGCGTGTGTCTGGTGGTGTGGGGGTGTATGTTTGAACGGAAATTCATAGCTCGAGTCACAGTAACGATAGCGCAGTGGTTCTTAAATATGTTATAGGGGGTGGGATGGGGACACAAGTGGTACGTGATAGGAACTGATAACGACTGATAATAGCTGATAAGAGGGGCTAGAAAGCGAGCATCGCCAATTTCGTTTTGCCGTTCATATTGGTAAAGAGCGTCTATACTTACAAGTCTTATGTGGGGCGGTCCCGGGACATTGGTGGTACATGATTGGAAGCGATAGCAACTGATAATGGCTGATAAGATGCGCGCTAGAACGCAAAAGTCGTCGATTCCGTTGCCTGGCTCGCGTTGACACCAGAGCAACCATACTTACAAGTGTTATGTGGGGTGGGACGGGGACATTGTTGGTGGGTGCCAGAAACTGATAACGATTGATAAGGGCCGATAAGGCGCGCCAGAACGCTGAAGTCGTCGATTCCGTTGCCTGGCTCGCGTTGACACCAGAGCAACCATACTTACAAGTGTTATGTGGGGTGGGACGGGGACATTGTTGGTGGGTGCCAGAAACTGATAACGATTGATAAGGGCCGATAAGGCGCGCCAGAACGCTGAAGTCGTCGATTCCGTTGCCTGGCTCGCGTTGACACCAGAGCAACCATACTTACAAGTGTTATGTGGGGTGGGACGGGGACATTGTTGGTGGGTGCCAGAAACTGATAACGATTGATAAGGGCCGATAAGGCGCGTCAGAACGCAAAAGTCGTTAGTTCCGTTACGCAGCGTTGACACTAGAGCGTTCCTACTTACAAATTGTAGTAAGTCGTAGTAGTACAAACAAAGGTACGTGCACATTATTTCGATATATATGTCCAGCTTACTTAATAGAATTCGACTGCATAAATTTTAAAAAACAAGTCTTCAGCAAATGATAAGTTTCATTTCTGACTATTAAGAAAACCCAATCTCATTAAAGGAGGATTTTACGATTAGAATGGAGGTCGAGGAAGAAGTAATTCACCTAGTTGAGTAACCCACGGACCTCCTGAGGGTGCGAACTGATGCGCAATTCGCATCGAAAAATTTGACCTCGCGACCTATTATGCCTCAAAGTTGGCGGGTCTGGCGATCTCCGCCCACCGACCAGCTGATCACTCGCCGCAGATCTATACGTGGGATTGATTAGATAGCAGAGAGAGCGTGATGTTGAGGAGGGCACAGCGATAAGAGTCGCATCAATGCGCAAATCAGCGGGGAAGGAAGGGGTCCCATTTCTCGGGTTCTGGGCCGTTTCTCATGGTTCTTCCTTCTTTCGTGTACCAATCACCATCCCTGAGTTAATTTGAAATGGGTTGCCTTCCCAGCGTGAATTCGTCCTTTTAAACCGCTAATCCTTTCGTGGTTCTAAATAATGATGAATGTAAATGAATGATAAGCATTAGCTCCTCACTTATGTAAATAGGCATATTTCGTTTTGATTTTGAGACTGACAGCAATCCTATTCACCGCTAAATTATCTTAATTCAAGAAAAATGCTGGGATGTTTACAGTTGTGATCAATATACCAGTTCAGCTCAGACGTTATCACGCGTATTAAGTCTCAGATGAACTTCAGTTGGAAACTGCTAGAGCGTGCTAACGACAGTCAGTTAGTGAGATGGCGTAATTGATGGAGATCATTCTCCAATGCTGAGTAGCCCCATGGTTCTCCAATTTCGCTAGCCTGAGTGTGATGCGCGGCGGATAGCGGGAAGCAACAACTTTCGTTTTTATCTATACTGAAAGCAAGGATTCCACGATAGATCGGAAAATGGAGTACCTAGTGGAGCCGTGCGGACCCCCTTATGTGGACCAACTCGCAGTCGCATCAAACAATAACGCCAGCAATTTGACATGTCCTTTTCTTTGACGCGATTGACCCGGAACACTCACCGACTATATAGTCACTCGCAGCAGGTCTATACGGAACGAGCAAGAGAGCGTAGAGTTGAAGGGTACAGTGATGAGATTCGTACCAATGCGCAATTCAACGGGCGAGGAGAGGGTCCCACTTCTCGGGTTTTGGGCCGTATCTCATGGTTTTTCTTCAGTTTCCTTAGTTCACTGAACCACTCTGGGCTTTTTATTTGTTTTTTTTGCCGAATCGAGCGTGTGGGGTTTTTTATTCGTGAAAGCGGCCTGTAGAAATAGAAGGTGTGCGAGCGGGCGACGAAGGTATGGGAGCGCCATATACAGGAACTTGAACGGCTTTTCAAGTTCATCCGAAGAAGATGAGAGGAGGATAACAACATGGTTAATCTTGTGAAGTAGCACTTTTCGTCAACAAATCTGGCGCGCAGATTTTAGTGTAAGGAAGCTATTGTGGTCTCACGATTAGTGCGCTGTCAACTAGTGCTTCAAACAGGATTTTTCAATTCCAGCGTCTTCTACGGAAACGAAAAAGGAAGAAAATATTGTCGGATTCATCACCGAAAGCAACATCGCCGACAACACAGACCGAGTTCGTTTACTTCCACTTGAAAATTGGTGGGGATATATAAATCCCAGGGGCGGAAGTGGTGTAGTGCAAGTACGCTTACCACGCGAGCGGTCCGGGGATCAAATCCTGGGTCGTGAGTCGCCCGGGCCAACCAAGCCTTCCATCCCTCCGGGGTCGGTTAATTGGTACCAGACTTGTCTGGGAGGATAAAAACACTGACTTGTACATCGGCTGGCCCCCGCAAGTCATTGTATAGGCCACATCGCATTCAAACGCCACTACGAATGTACAAATGGAAGTAGAATGCGTGCCGCATCCCAAGATTGATCAACGGCAAAAGCTTAATAATTTACTTTCTTTCAAATAGACCCTATATTATAAGAGCTCTATGCGCTAGCTATCGGCACCACTTCAATTGTTGAAACACTTATCTGGCCTGCCAACCGGATGAGGTTTTCCTGTCATGCTGGCTCTTCGCTCTCAATTGTGGGTTACTGTGTCGCATGTGTGGTACTTTCATTGTATTCTTTTTGAAAGAGGTGAACATGGTATGATTGTGGACGGAAGCCTGTATGACCCTTGTTCTTGAATTCTCTCAAAGAGAGGAAAATTGCAGTCAGTTCCAGTGCTAACGCTTGGTGTGGAAAGATACCCTAACTTGGTTTGATATTGACTCGCCGACTGCAGCAAAGATATGTTCCAAACGTGGTCAGAATGCTCGTTCGCTGTGGAAGCGCATGGATCATTTTCCTGATTTAGGTCTCCTGTCGTCTCTCCGAGCTCGAACGCTAGCGATTCACAAACCTCAAAAACGTCTCAGCTCTACGAACCAACAATGACCGAAAAACAGCTGAAGGTTTGCGTTCTACTTTGCCACTCACAGTTGTCACAAGTTGTTGCAATTTCGTCACCACCATTAATTCATCAACCCATATGGCTCAGCTATGAGACGCTCTTCCTTCTTTTACTCGGTTTTTCGGTTATACAGGAATGCGAAGTAAAGCAAGTGTCCAAATTTTGTTTGTGTCTGCCTAGACATTCCATTCTGAATGCTCAAATTAGTGGCGCTGACTGAGGGGCGGAAACGATTGAACGTTCATTGGTGGGAAGGCCTCGAGAGGACGTGTTATGGCGCCTTTCTATAATACTAAAGGCGATATTATTCCAGCAAGGTGTGGCCGAATCGTCTCCGCCTGTCAGCCTGCTGCCTTTACCCAGTGAATATAATTAATCAGGTACAGTCCATATCCGAGTGTTGGGGTAGGAGCGTCACCGGAAATGACGTGGCGGCAGCCTTACTTGATAGAAATCTTGTACCTTGTTTTAAACACTTCCGCTGGCTATCAGTAGAGCATGCTGGCAACAGCTTCCACACAACTTCTATCAAGTACACGTCACCTCCGGTGACATGCCTACCCCAAATCTCGATATCGACTGTGTCGGGGAAGTGCTAGCGAAATTTCTGTATCAAACGGAATGCTTTTTTGATCATATATGTCATTCTCAGTATCATAAGGTGGAGTGAAAACAAGGCAGACAAACTAAGAAATTCTTCCCTACCTAAAGTTGGCAGCTCCCACCCTTGCGGAGAGCCTCAGCAAGCTACGCGTAAAGCTTTTGGAGAGCGGGAAGGCCACCTTTAGCCCGTACGTCCTCGGAAAGTAAAACCATGGGCGTTGCTAAGAAATAGTTCTTTCTTTTGAAAAATTCAAACAATACAACATCCTCTCAGAATACACTTTCCCTGATCTAATTAGCGATGTTGACAGGTTTTCTTCGACCCACCCGAATCTGTGGAGGAACTAGAGATTACAAGAAATAATTTGATGTTGCCACCGTCAAACATTAATGAGCTATTAGAAATTAAAGCTGACCGAAGAAAATTGGCACCTTTACTTTGTAAGGTGAGTTCTGCAGCATACGCTCGTAATTGAAACGCAACCGCCAATCAGGAATAAAGATGGAAGAGTAAGACGAAGTATCTCCACCAAATGCTTAGATTATCGCGCATTTTCAAGCCGCGGCATCGGCACGCTACTAAAGGGCTGCTCTATCCCACCCGGTGAATAGATTCTCCGACTTGAATTCTGCTGGAGGTGTTGCTTTATGGCTGTATTATGATTATCGGAAATCAACGATTAATTGTCAAATTGATTATCAATCAATCAAATAGAGTAAGGAATCAATAAAAAAGTGAATATTAGGGACAAATCACCGATATACACTCTAAGTAATGAGGTACGGAAGAATCGGAACTGCGTAAAGGGAGTGGAAAGCGACGCAGAAGGGCAGCGGCCGCCAACACTGCAACTTCATGAGGCGATATAGAGCTCTGGATACCAACTATGTAGGTCCGAAAACCCTGTCGGAACCCACGCCCAGACCCACAGAGATCCGTAGAGGACGGGTAGTCAACACAAGCGAACTGATAAATACTATAAAGATGAGTGACATGAAGCTTATAAAGATGAGTGACATGAAGCTTCATATAATCAATCCTTAAAGGAGGATTTTACGATTAGAATGGAGGTCGAGAAAGAAGTAATTGACCTAGTTGAGGGACCCACGGACCTCCTGAGGGTGCGAACTGACGCGCAATTCGCATCGAAAAATTTGACCTCGGCGACCTATCATGCCTCAAAGCTGGCGGGTCCGGCGATCTCCGCCCACCGACCATCTGATCACTCGCCGTAGTTCAATACGTGGCGAGTGATTAGATAGCTGAGAGAGCGTAGTGTTGAAGAGGGCACAGCGATGAGAGTCGCATCAATGCTCAAATCAACGGGCAAGGAAGGGGTCCCATTTCTCGGGTTCTGGGCCGTTTCTCATGGTTCTTCCTTCTTTCGTGTACCACTCACCATCCCTAGGTTAATTTGAAATGGGTTGCTTTTTCATCGTGAATTCGTCCTTTAAAGTAAAACAAACAACGAAACAATCGCTTCTCTGTCTTGTGAAAACAAAGCAGTTTTTTTCTGTTCGCAGAACCAACCTTGCAATAGCATAATTTACATGACCTCTTCCTTAAAGGCACGAGTCGGGATTGAATTGATGCGTTATTTTGTTCAAACATTAGGCAACAAGGGGTGCAATGAGGAACATTAGTGAGGAGAAAAAGCAAAAAGCACCATAGAAAACACTAAATTTCCCTTAGGAGGCCGGCCGTAGTACGACGGAGAGACACAGCGCTGCGAGGAGAGGGAGAACGCGAGATAGTACGTCGTACGCGAGAGGACGCAGAGACCACGTATGCCGTGGTGGATTACGCTGGCAGCGCGGGCAGCGCGGCGGGCAAGGCCTTAGCGCCATTGCCGCGCACTTTTGGGTCGCGATAGTGTCGCGCCCTCAGTGCTTGGGGAGCCCACTATCGCACCCTGGGAAGAACTGCTGGTTGCCTAATCCTGACTCGTGGCTTTAAGAACTAGGAGAGGTCGAGTGAACGACAGAAGGAGGTAGATCATTCCACAGGGTATCAATCTTTCGTGTAATGAACTACGAGATTCAGAGGAATTCCCTTTTTGCTTGAAACGCCATAGTTATGACCTCTCATACGGCCGATAGTTGTTGATTTTTTGAAAGGAATGTCGAAACTCAAAGCCCAGCGGGAATTTTGTAAACAAAGCCTCAATAAAATAGTATTTTTCTTATCTCTAGTAGATTTTCATCAAGATGTGTTTGTCTGTCTCTATACAAAACACGGAGAAGTTCTTAAACCTCTTCGCTAGTGAAAATTCACTAGTGAATTTTGTCCGAACACCCTCAAAGAGTTTAACAATGTTACGCGATGAGAGACTCCAGTCCATAGGGCGGTACTCTAGAATGGGGCGGACATCGGTGGCAAAGAGCAGAACATTATATCATTTAGCTCTAACAAGTGAGAATACCTCCCTTGCACGCCGGAAACCTTCAAATTTAGTTCTGCCACAGAAAACTGGCCTTGACTGAACAGCACATCCGGTGTCTTTGTGAGCAAAGGTTTTGCAAAAAACATCGTCTACCAGCAGCTCATCTTTGCGGAATAGACTACAAGCAAACAGGAAGGAGTAGAATTACAAAGGTCAGTGTGTGTAATAGAGGTTTTCAGACTATAGATTCATACTTACAGACTTGCACGCAATGTTTTCAGGAAAACCCAAAAGTCTCCGAAGGCGGGTATCACAAAGCAAGAGAAGACTAAAATACTTACAGATCAACTTAAGTGTATCTTAACGACAAATCAATAAAGATACTCAGCTTAGTCCAGCTGTCAACACATTACCAACCGAATTACAACACCTGAGAGTGAAGGGCGAGAAATAGTGGTATTCGCCTTAAACTTCAAGTTACTTACTTAGTATTTACTCTTACCCTAACCATCCTAATATATAATCGGTAAGCGTATGTCTTGATGTGTGTTTCTGTCTGGGCGTGTGTCTTATGAGAAGTCATAACTTGTTGCTTCTCGCAAGTAATCAACAGGCCAGCTTTTAACTTGTACGCGTCGGTAATAGGGGGCTAGCTGAGAACATGACGTGGTGATGCAATCCAGGGGTATGGAGCTGATCGAGACAGAAGCCATCGAAACGCACGCTTGCTACAACTGCGTTTACGCCCTTCTACCAATTAAAGAATAGTGTAATGGGAATCTGAATGTGGGGAGGGGGAGGGGGCAAGAAGGGAGCAGACTATGAGATAGAATGCAGTAGTGACTGATAAGGAGTATAAGGCAAAATTTAGGTTCGTTTTGGTTATTTCCCCGTAAATGTATGCAACATAACACAGGGGCAGACCATGTGCAGAAGTGACGGAGCGATTTGACAAGGTACGGCGCTAGCCTGTGTTGGAGCACTGGCGCCACTCAAACCCCATTGAGCCCGCCCCGTTTGGAACGTTGCAGGAGAATATTTAGCGGATTATATGAGAACTTCAATATCATAGCCCATGCTAAGAATATTACCGAGAACCTAGTCACTCATTCTAGTGATAATCAAATTTTTGAGATAAAAAAAACACAGGTAAATAGAAAAAATAGCGAAATTAGAAGCAATCAGTTTTCATTGCTGACTTTTTGTAGCCGTGTCGGTTGCTGGCATAAAGCCAACAGTTGCTGTAGACACGTCCAGACACGTAATTCTCCCAGCCCTGGCTTCTAAGCGACTAACGAAGAGAAATTTCTTATTTTGGACTTTTTTGGAGTACTTCCTGCTTTTTTCTTAGCTTCGATTCACTTAGCACCCAGTACTTCATAGTTGAACAGGTAAGTCCCTCGTTTTATCCCGGAGTTTGCTTTTAAGGGGCGTCGGTGTCAGAGTCGCCACTTCCGTCGTGATCTTCGCGGTGACAGTGGAATCTCAGCATTTATTTGTGGTGTGTTGGGTGCATAGACGCAGATGGTGTGAATGTGATGTAGCGGAAAATGACATCACATTCCACACATGCAATCTGAGGGTAAAATTTCACACCGTTTCTCGCCTATTCGTTACCAGACCCACCCACGTAGGTGGAAGGCTGTGTCCCGCAAATCTCTATAGGTCAGCGTAGGATCTTTCTGAAAGTCAAGTAGGCTTTCCTGTCTGATTTTTCTGACATAACATAAAGGAAAAAAGTGGTGCAATTAGGATGCAACTTACTGAGTAGTTGCAGCAAAAGCTGGTAGCAAAAGGCATGCTTTCCTTGCTCTCACCGCCTTTTCCAGAGCGATAAGGTCGGAGTGAATTTTGTGTACGATCCTATTCTTGACCCCTTCAAGTATTGAATGACTATTCTATGATAAATTTACTCTGAGCAAAAATGGAATCAGGATTGCAAAGCGATGCGATCATGAAGAAAAACCGAAAAATCTGTCAAATACCCGCTGAATGGAACCCTCGTTTTTTCACCGACTCGATGTGTAATGACTTAGAATTCGCCGTTAGAGTAAACGTGCTCTTCAAAAAGCAAATTACAATATATCGCGGCTCCGCGATGTTTCGGTTCAGTTTCGACTTAGATAAAAAAAAAGGAAAGTGCGCCGTTTCAAGGGCTCGAGGTGTCGGGTCAAAAATGGTCCTTGGTGGATTTCATGTTTGCGGGGAATCCGACACTCCAATCCCAAAATCAACCCAGAGTACATCATTTTGTTGTTTTATATGTTTGCGTCTTTGTTGTCTTGTTTGTTTTGTGTGACGGTTATTGCCTCATGTTCGGTTTCCTTTCGGGTTTACCCGTTGAGGGGGAGCTGTGCAATGCCCGAATTCTAGGACGCGACTATTGTTCATGGGTTTACTAGCTGATCCGTCAGCGCTAATCGTATGCCACAGTATTATCTAAGGAATGACGAATCGCTCATCAATTACTTGGAGGCAAAAAGAATTTTTCTTCATTCGTAGCAGTTGAAGCTGGGATATAATCGTGTATGATCTCGCCGCCGAGGATAACAAACTGTGGAAGTTTCCCAAGTATCACGAGTTTGGTATCGACTTCAACAGAGGCTCCTCTCCCTTCGCTGTTGGCTAGATTTATATAATTACGCGAGGTTTTCATGCCACGAAATGTGATAGCGTCGCCGAAAGCTGATGTCTAATCTACCCACTAGGGTTGAGCCATCTTAGCGCCACACCTCACGATATCATTTGCCTAACACATACCCTTGATAGTGTTTCCCTGATTGCATAGTTGCAGATAAACAATAAATTATAATTTGTCCAGTTGATATATTTCCACGAGCCTAGAGCAGCCAATTAGAGTCAAATGATAGCTTTGCCGAACCATGCTCAGGGAAAGAACGGGGAAAGATGATAGGGCAATTCTTATAAATTCCGTTGTTGACAAACGTTCATTTCGTCGTATGGTGTTCGTTAGTTTGACTATTTATGTTTGTATCCCCACTTGATTACCCATTTTAGGTATAAACGATTCTCTGGTGTTGTTCCGTGTGGAAAAAAGTCTAAGTCAACTAAATCTATGTTAACGATTTGAATTTGTTCTCAAGATACAATACTAAGTACGACCGCCTGATAGAGAATGTGCCAGAACGAAAATCGAACGAAAACGGTTATTGCGAAAACTGCGTAACTATCCTACTATATATAAGCGGCTAGCGTGTGTCTGTTGGTTGTGTGTGTGTGTGTGTGTTTGACCGGAAATTCATAGCTCGAGTCACAGTAATGATAGCGCAGTGGTTCTTACATATGTTATAGGGGGTGGGATGGGGACACAAGTGGTACGTGATAGGAACTGATAACGACTGATAATAGCTGATAAGAGGGGCTAGAAAGCGAGCATCGCCAATTTCGTTTTGTCGTTCATATTGGTACTAGAGCGTCTATACTTACAAGTGTTATGTAGGGTGGTCCCGGGACAATGGTGGTACATGAATGGAAGCGATAGCAACTGATAAGGGCTGATAAGGGGCGTCAGAACGCAAAAGTCGTCGATTCCGTTACCTGGCTCGCATTGACACCAGAGCAACCATGCTCACAGGTGTTATGTGGGGTGGGACGGGACATTGTTGGTAGGTGATTGAAAGTGGTTTGCAACTGATAAGGGCTGATAAGGCGCGTCAGAACGCAAAAGTCGTCGATTCCGTTACGTTGCGTTGACACTAGAGCGTCCATACTCGCAGGTGTCATGTGGGGTGGGACGGGGACATTGTTGGTAGGTGATGGAAAGTGGTTACAACTGATAAGGGCTGATAAGGGGCGTCAGAACGCAAAAGTCGTCGATTCCGTTACGCAGCTTGCGTTGACACTAGAGCGTCCATACTCGCAGGTGTCATGTGGGGTGGGACGGGACATTGTTGGTAGGTGATGGAAAGTGGTTACAACTGATAAGGGCTGATAAGGGGCGTCAGAACGCAAAAGTCGTCGATTCCGTTACGCAGCTTGCGCTGACACTAGAGCGCGCCCCTACTTACAAATTCTATTTGTAGTGGTTGCACAGCCGAGAATCATTATGACCAGCTTACTTAATAGGCAGTCTATTGCATAAACTCAATCAAGTCTTCAGCAAATGATAAGTTTCATTTCTAATGCAATATCAAGAAAGCCCAAACTCATTAAACCGCTAATCCTTTCGGGGTTCTAAATAATGGTGAATGTAAATAAATGATAAGCCTTAGCTCTCACTTATGTAAATAGGCATAGTTCATTTTTAATTTTGAGACTGACAGCAATCCTATTCACCGCTAAATTATCTGAATTCAAGAAGAATGCTGGATGTTTACAGTTGTGAGATAATATGCCAGTTCAGCTCCAGACGTTATCACGCGTATTCTCGATGGACTTCAGCGAAACTGGGAAAGGTCTAACACATTCAATAGTGAGGTGGCTAATGGAGTGACCTCATGCTGATATTCCATGGGTCTTTCAGTTTCGCTAAAGACTGCGCGCGATAGCAGGCGGAGCAAAACTGGTCTAGTTATAGGGCGCGCAAGGCGGTGTGTGTGCGGTGCATTTTTTTAATCATGGGGCCTAATTGCGTTGCGCGCGTGTTTAAATGCAAGTGAATTCACTTCTAAGGATTGTTGTATTTCACAGATTTCCCCACTGTTGTTTTGTTCTTTGTCGAGAGCTGTCCGATTGGTTTTCGTATCCGCGACCTAATCGTAAGTGATGAAGAAAGGGCCAAGCTTTCACCTAATCAAACTGGAGAAACAAGTGATACAACAGCGATGCTCTGCGATGTTACAATAGAATATTCGTTGTCAGGTAGATCTCCCATATGTCTTCTGTTGACAATCTTTTCAGGATGCCTTGAGCACTACGAGACAACGAAGGCAGGGCAAAGCAAGGTCTTGCCCAAGTCGCATAATGGCACCGCTCATATAAATAAACCTCTGAACCCTTCTAAAAGGATAGTGTTCAATTACCACAATGGAATGTGTAGGGTTAATCTGTGCGTCAGATTCAGTAGCTGTCTATATGCGTAGTGTGCACCTCCGAAAAACGCTCAGAATACATGGAAATAACCCAATTAATACAATGCATGACTGGCCAAAAAGAAGGATTCTAAAATGCTCTCTCCGAAATGTCGAGACAAGCAATGTATGTCCGAATCAGGTTTATTGATCGGCGGTTGTTCTGTCAGCAATTCGCCGACTGCGACAGAAATGCCAATCAACAAAATATGGAATACAAAAGACCCAAGGCAGCGCTTCGATCAGCACTTATCATAGCGTTATGCTCCTTACATTACGAGGCAGAGATTTCGTGGCTT